GGCACTGAGCTATAGTGTACTTCTAACACATTCATATAGGAAAGAATAACTTGCACTTTAAATAAACCCTCACAACTTCTAATAAGTTACTTGGTTTGACGTGGGAGAATATCTTATCAGATCAGAAATCTCAAAAGAAGTGTAATGCAAATTCTTCAATGGAGTGACACATTAAAAGAAGCTCCAGAACTTAAAAAAAATAAATCAACTGTGGGTATACCTGCCTATTATTTTTACTTTTAAGGAAAGATTTGCTATATCTTAATTATGATCTATTTGTATACATTTTTCCTTTCTTATGAACATGGGTAGAACAAAGTGATGTGCAAATGCCTGCACCTTAAAAAGACTTACGATACAATCATAATATATTTGGCATGGTAAACGATTGGAGTAAGTAAGTAGGCAGGGGTTTTGGTATTATAAAAGAACCTGTTCCTAGGTAGCATCTGTTCAAGAGGCATGAACATCTTAATCATTAGGAAAACTATGAGTCAAAGTCTCAATATCAGGCACTGAAAAGAAAAAAAGCAATATTTTTAAGATTATATTAACATTTATAAAGCATACACAGACTATGCCAGTTTTAAACAAAATGAGAGCTAGAAAACTACTCTCCTTTTTGTAATTTTGCCTACACCTAAGGATTGATGTTGGCCTGTTTTACAGTCACAGCACTGTTCAAAACAACTGCTTTTTAAAAAGCTAAGGAGGAGGATAAAGAAGTTGAAATTGAGGCATGATTTTTTTATTGCATTCACTGAGTAGAAATAAGTTTCAAATCTTTTTGCACAGCGGATTGATTGCTAGGAGCAGAATTACAGCAATGAAATGTTCAATTAATGTTGTGTGTCTCTGTGGAGCATAGCTTGCAAGAGCTCTCTGAATAGAAGGATATCGTGCAGAAGTTAAAATGAAGGGTGTATCTTTGTTCGGTTTTCAAATCATTATGTGCCATGCTTCCAAAAAATTAGGAATTAGTCTGTGATTGATGGCTGCTGTTGGAAAACTTGCTTTAGTCTTTCTGAGACTTTCAAAATCTACTTGATCTAAATATAATCAGGCATATTATTCCAACACAGTTTGCTTCATTTTAAACCCTTTATTACTTTACAGGCAGCATTATTTGTATGTTAAGTGTACTGCTTAAATGCTTCCACACTCTAAATCAGTGGTCTGCAAAGTGGGGTGCGTTCACATTGTGGTGCAAGACAAAAATATCAGAAATGCAGTAGTACATGTATATAAATTATTTTTTAAAAAAGATATATTGGGGGTGAGTGCTCAAAAAATTTTTTACTGATAGAAATTTTTTACTGATAGAAGTGCATGATCCAAAAAGTTTGTAGACCACTGTTCTAAATGCATCAGTATGAATTCTTCTTTCCTAATAGCTTTCCCCACTTTTTTTTTCATTTTCGATTAGCTAGATTCCAATCTGAAAAACCTCAAGAACCAATGGTGTTGGAGATTCAAATGTTGCCTTTGTCAATTTATGCCCTCATCCTTCTTATTGAGAAATACTGAACTTAGAGGATTTGCATGAGGCTATTTCAAATGAAGCACTACGTAATGCCCATCAGAAGCATGAAGGAATACATGGAATTTTTACAGTAACAGTTTGTGCCCAGTTCTTAGCCAAAATATCCCCTTCTTCTGGTTTTATGCAGCATATTAATAACTGACATGGTTGTCACAATCCTATATAGTGGTTTTTGATACAGGAACTTTGCCTGAGAAATCCAAGACCTTGAAGGCAACAAAGAGCTGCAGAGAACAGAATTATCTGTCCCTATGTATGTGTTTCTGTTGGTCTTTGGGGTTGTGGGGGCTTTTGCTATAATGCCACAAAATAACAATTAAGAACTCCCGTGGGATGCAGGAAAAGGAGCAGAACATGAGCAATGAGTCCATGACTCCCTATTGCTTTCAGTCAGTCACCTGGGAAATTGCAAAGATGCTCAATTTTTTCTTTAGTGGTTTTGATCACATCTTTATAGTCAATTCATGAAAATTACATTTCTGACAATAAATAAATCAAAGAAAGGGAATCAGCTTCTACTATCTAAAAGTTGCTTTTAATTTCTTTTGTGCCATCGGGATGTGGGAGAATTATCCCAAATCTCTTCACCCACTGCAGGCAACCCACATTGTCATAAAATGGCAAAAGATAAGGTCTTCTAGCCGCTTTGTGCCTTCCCTCGAGTCTGTATCAAATGAACCATGCTTCTTTCATTACATTAAATCTACTGCGAAGCACAGTGTATTACCCATGGCAACCGTAGTAACATCATTATTTACAAAGGTCACTAAACTTTTCAGGGTTTCCTTAGAAGACTAGCTTGAAGAAGGCTCCCTATGGAATATTCTGGAATACTGTCTAAATGTATACTAATGACAGGACGTGAGTTTCCTGCTCCTGTGCTCCTAATAAAATAAATATGAAAACAATCTCATAAATGTCTTTTCATTATTTTTTAAACAATCCATCAGTGGCTTTCTATGCTTTCCTTAGCTCCATGGTGCTACAGTAAGTGCACCAGTAAGTACAGATCCTAGCACATGATACTGAAAACACACAAAACACCTTATTGGGTCAGGCAAGTGAGTCCCCCAAGCTCAGCAGTGTCAAGAGTAGATGCTATTCAGTGAGAGAAACCAAGCCTGGCCACTTTCTGCATCCCTCCCCCTTGCAGTGAATCTCTCAGGCTCACAGCCCTGCCACAAGATGGCACTGGGACCAGAATCAGCACAGGGAAGTGTGGAGAAGGTCTGTGTCCAAAGCAAGGACCTCAGTGCACCTGCACAACAAAGAACTTGTCTCTCAGCAACTGTTTATGGACCAGTTGTCCATGAGGTTGTTTTATTGCTTTAAGTCCGCTAATATAACTTGCCCACAGTGCTTTGGCTGCTAGTTCCCTACATTTTTTCCCTGCCACATAAATACTTTATCTGTTTTAAACCTGCTACTACCATTAGCTCCAATACTGAATCTGGTGTATTTTATTCTGCATTTACTTTATTTACTGTCAAGACTTTGGAATCCTCAGTCACGCTCCTGAGCAGCATTTTGCTCCCCAAACCAAAGAGCCATTTGATCCTCATAACAAGGAAGCTGCTTCCTCCCTGTTGTTTTAGTTCCCTTTCTCCATACACCCACCAACTTCACTCTTGAAATGTCGTCCTTGAGATGCCCACCAGAACTGCACTCTAGTATTCATGATGCAGTTATATGGTTATATACAGTAATAAAACAATGTCTGTAACACTGGTTATGTCCAACGTTTTGTTGACTTAAACTGTGTCTGCCGCTGTGCAATGAGAGATGATATTGCAGAAGTGTCAGTGATGACACCAGTATCTTCCCTGAGCTTTACAAATTAATTCCAAGTTCAGGATCGCCCACGCACAGTTAAAGGAGATCTTTTTTGTCAGATGCATTAACTCATATTTATGCACCCTGACACTCGTCTACCATCTTTTTGCTCACTAATTACATTTTATAAGATCCTTCTCTAGTTCCCTGACATCTAATATCTTCCCAGTAATTAAATACTATGAAGTACCATCCAAAAACTGAGAAATTTCACTGCTTCCCTTCATTCTGCAGGTCATGCGTGAATATATTGAAACTTGACACAGCACCCATCTTTATGGTACTTCACTTCTGATCTGTCCATCCTAACAAGTTACCACATCCTTGAAGGCCTCCTCTCTCACAGAAGCATTGTCGGTGCAAAAGGACATTGTGAACTCAGCTGGAGGTTTGGTTTCAACTTAGACATCAGCTCCCTTTTTCCTACTGGATGCTCTCCTCCCCCAGATTTATGCTTTCCTTAGCAGCACAGGGGCTGTCACAGTGGAAGTGGGACAGTTGTACAACATCCCTGCTGGCCCCATCTAAAAACCTCTCCATTCCAACTAGCTCAACAATCTCAAGCCACCAAACACATCTCTCACCATCGAAGGCTCTTTTCACTAACTACACACTTACAGACATGATCCCAAGGCAGGTTATGAGACCTACAAATGTTCTCTGTAATAAACTCAGCTGTATCCCATGGTTAACACCGCACCAGAAATTATAAACCTAGGGATTTCTCACCTATCGGGAGACAGCGCTAGCATTTGGTAGTTTGACACTTGAACACTGGCAAGAATTTTACCAAAGAAATACAGGTTTCATGTTTCAGTTTCAAACTTGAGATTAAGTAAACCAATAAAAAGGCTTAGAAGCTCAGGTGCAAAAGTTAGTGAGGGAAAGTTATGCTAAACAGCTAAAGCAGTTTTCCTTAAAATTTTCAGGTTGCTTCACATTGCTGAACCTTTTGGTCCTAAGGAATCATACTGATTTACTGCTACATCACTGCAGCTTGACCAAGTCCAGAGGCCTTCTGACACTAAGCAGCTTTTAGGACAGGATTCGCTATTGGCTCCTCCCATCTTACAACGCTGGACATTAACGATATCCACTTAGAGTTGGCTACCATATCTCGCTGGCGATTTGCGTGTCAAAAGACTTTTAACAGATAAATAAGCAACCCCCACTCTGCAAACCCTCCATACCCCAGTCTCAGAAAGATTTACTTGCTCCTGGAAATTCGTTAATTTAGTACAACTATTTTTGAATTCAGAGATAATTAAGTCTCTCCTCAAGTACTCAATCTCTGAATTGGACATTTCATTAAAAAATGTACTTTTCTAATCTACTCTTCTCAACATAAATGCATTCTAGACCTTCTTCTCTATAACTTGTCTCTAAAGACTGAAATTAGCAAACTCTCTTATTCTCTTAATAGCACTTATTTGACTGGCAAATCTAATTTACATAAAAATACTCTCTTCCTCAGTAACTTCTCTTATACAACTGTTCTGTGGAAATATAACGGAGGCATTTAAAAACCATGTCATGCTGTTTTTAATAGGCACAAGTTCTGCTAGTGAGATCGGGGGGGGGGTGTGTGTACAAATATTTGTATGTACAAATTATAGTACTGTACCTTCTATCATTTCCATACCACTAGGAGGCTTACAATGTCCAGCATGGCTCACAACCCAAACGGGATACTGCTGATTTAGTCCGCAATATAAGGCCTGTATAAAGGTCCTGTAATAACCTGCCAGTCCAGGGTTACCTGCCAAAAAACAAAACATACAAGCACAGTCAATACTGACCTTCCAACAGCAAGCAATCTGCTTCAAAGTAAAATAAACAGCATTATACACCAATTTGTTAATTTATTTTCTCTAGTACATTTCCAATTTTTATCTGGCTCTGCTATTGAACTGGTTTAATTCCATTGATCAATGGCACCCATGAGAAGCATTTTACAGAATTACTTTGAAATTGCAGAACCTAAAATTAAAGCTCAACACAAGAGAAAAATCTCCTTTTCCATCAGAGGTTAATCAGCGTGCTTAGCTATCCCATCAAGTCACAGATACATGAAAACTGGGCAAAGAAACCCCCAGGTCTTATAAAAATATCAGTAAGACTACAGCGTATATCAGTTGATCCAGATGTCTGCCCTCCAGAATATCTCAATGTTACAACTTCAAAATAAGTATGTGGTATCCTGACAACACAAAGGTCTGTACTGACCCTAGAGGAGAGGACATTTTTATTTTGAACTCATGGGACCAAATTAATTTTTTCTGCTTGCAACTTCATATTCTCTCTGTCCTCTTCCACGCCTCTTGAGAAGCTCTTTCCTTTTCAACCCTTGTGCTCTAGAACCACAGCAGAATCTGTCCTCCCTTCTGCATCCCATCAGCTTGACACAGAACTTCTCAGAAGAGGCTGATGCCTGGACAAATCTGGCTTGCCCTGAGAGAGCAGACCACCTTGCCCTAAATCTGTTGTTTAACAGTGATGATATCGACAGTCAGGTACCATTGCTGAAGTGGAAACTGAAATACTGTCCCAAAGATAAAAACATATATCTGGTAGGGATTTCAGGATTTCCAAACAAAACTCTTGATCTCTATTCCTCCTTTTTTTCCTCTCTTTTGGATATCAGTAGTGACAGTGTCAAGGGACTTAAGTTAGAGAATAAATCCATATGAAGACAAAGCAGATTTTGTTTCCTGATTCCCATAGGATGTATAAAAATTCCACACAGACATAAAAACATATAATTTCTCTCTATTTATTTATTAATTTTCCAGGGTAGTTCCACTGATTTCTTATTATCATTTAGACACCAGGAAAGCCCACCATCTTGGTTAGGATTGCTCAGTTACATGTCTTTCACTCACATATTAGGCAATTCTTAGTTTGGATATCACCAACAGCAGAAGGCAGCAAGAGCAGCATTGTGTAACAAGGCATTCACTTTTTAAGACAAAGACATGTATTACTGAAAGGGTATGAGAGAAAAAAAAAAACAACTCACTAAAATTGTGTAAACTCCTTTGTAATAACAGAGGCTGAGCCATATAAGTATTGATAGCGACAGAGAAGAAGAATCAGAGCTGTAATCAAATTACTACTTGTAGAAATGGTGTGTGGAGGTAAAAACTAGGTTTATTCCACTTCTTCCCTTTCTATAGTGGGCATTTTCATTTTGTCTTCTTTTACTTCAACCCTTTTGCTCTTCAGGTAACCCACAGTAAGCTCACTGCTCTCGCAAGAGGCATTCCCTCGGTCCAGGGCTTCCAGAAGGCAGCCTACTCGCCGCAGAGCAGCGGTGCACCCGCCAGCCACAGCCACCTCCAGCACAGACACCTGCCTAGGAGCTGATGCCATTGCTCACCAGGGATGATACGTGGGCAGAGCAGGGAAGCCTTCCACTCCAGGTAATACATCACACACGCTTCATCCCTCACTTACATGCAAAAAGTGCCTCTGATGGTGTTTTTCAACCTTAATAAAATTACTGATCTTAACATTTTTACTGGAGTACATGGATTTGGGGAAAAAACAAAACCACAGTATTAGTTATTATATGCTCTAAGCGTCTCTTTGTAAGCTTAACATTAAAGGAGAATTAAAAAAAAAAATGTTTTTAGTATATATAAAGTCCAGAATGCATGATCAAATTTTTGCAAACTGATTTCCAGAAAAACAATTTAAAACTCACAAGGGTCACACATCTGTACAACTGCACATTTTCATATGTCAAAAATATATAATATAGAGGGCCCCAGAGACAATAAAATCAAATCTAGACATCATCTGTCAAGCTCCTTGGATTGATGTTACATAGAGGAAACTTGTCTTTCAGCAAGGCTGAAGATGAAAGTAGCAGCAATCCAAAATAAAGTGTGTCTTTTCTGGTACAAAAGTTCATGATGTTTTGGCACTACACTTAGACCTGGAATATAATGCAATTAGGTATTTTGAGATCAAGGAATCAAAAAATTAATCTGAAAACCAGCCTCTTTCCTTTACATTTTTCTCTCCTTTAATAATGTAAACCAAGGAAAGGGGGAGAAATGGCAACAGCTGTCTTCGACATTTTGGTGCTCTTTCCCATCATCAGCCAGGTGAACCTAACATGTAAATATTCTCAGGATTCAGTCATCAGCTGAAGAGCAGTGAAGTAAGAACTGTTTATCAACAGTGAAGCTTTGCATCAAATACTGTCCAAATCTCAAGGCACTCTTAATACTTTTTTGAGGGAAAGGGTATTTTTATCCTGTGATAAATGTGATGTGTATTTTAGGCAGGTAAAAGAGAAGATCCATAAATGCAAAAGAAACCCCCTTTCCCCACTCTTCATAAGCATTTGCTCATGGTAAAAGACATTCTGAGGGGTCAGCTGTTAGAACTGCTACGGATGCTTTAAAACGCCTTGAAGGGGTATGAATGAGAACCGCTGGCACAAATGGGAAGGAAAATCAACAAGATTTTAACAGCAAAGATTTCTATAAAGAAATCACCACGTGTAAAGCAGCTATAAGTTTATTCTTTATTGAACTTTCAATTTCAATGGAGTTATTCCAGATTTGCACTGACTTAAGTAAATGCAGGTTAATAGTCCCTGCTCTTGAAAGCTTGCATCTGCAGTATTTATAAGTGGAGAATGTTTATCTCCTAATATAGCTCAGACTCACATCTCTGCAACTTCAGTCATTTTATATGTTTTTACTTTAGCTGCTACCTGACAAAATACTTCAAGGGGAGCAAACAAAAAACCTGAACCATTTTTTTTTGATTCTACAGAGTCACAGTAACAGCTAATAGAAATATATTGTTCAATTAAACTATTTTATTTTATAGAAAAAGAACTACCAGGCTTATCACAAAGGCACCCAGGCAATGTAGTGCTCACTTGCGCATTTTAAGGATTTCCCAGTACATCAAACCAAAACTGCCTATGTTCTTTCACTCAGCAACTAAGTGTCAAAAAAATGGAAACCATAAGTAACTGCAGTGTTAACCTCCATGATTTGAAGGTTACTCCAGCATTTGAATACCACATCAATCCTCAGACACCTCAGGGCACCTGAATCATTCATGCATGCCAGCACATCTCAAGTTGCAGTCATCTGAACCAAGAAGCACATCTTAAGCAGTTACTCTCAACTGTGCTCAATTTTCAACAGTGTTTATGTTGTTTCAGAAGTCTTTTAAACACTAGCTGTAAATGGTGACCATAACAGAAAAAGACACAAAACTACAATACACTGCATATTAGCTTAATTTACAGAAGATTTCTAAGCATTTCACGGAAAGAGCATGCCAAAGGGACGACTTGCACAGTGAATTAGAACACAGTGGGGACATTTTATTTGGTGTACTCATAAGTTTCAACAACCTAAGGACTCCTGCCACCTTTCCTGTTCTTCTCCGTAATACATGACATTTCATCCAGCTATTCTACATTAAGCCCAAAGTCTTTCTATTTTTAATTTGAAGACGGGAATCCACTTCTTCCTTTTCCGATCTGTTCCACCCACAGCTAAAGCAAAATGGTACAGAACGACTAAATGTGCAGAGGTGTAACTTTGAGCTATATTAGGAGGTAAATATTCTCCACTTATATATACTGCAGATACAGGCTTTCAAGATCTGGAACTACTACTCTTTAATCATTCACATAGTTAAAAACATGAAAATTACTTATAAACATGCATTTGCCTGCCTTTCACTTTCAAAAACTTTCTCCTTAATGCTTTTTCCATCAAATCAAGATTTTAAATACCAATCACTTCCTTCTTATGAAGACAACTAACAGTGGAGAGAGAACAATTTGTACAAACTAAATATCTGTCCCAGGATTTCACTGATAAAGAATAACTTTTATCCTGATTTCACATGATTTCCTATACAAAGTGTCAAAAAGTCAAACTTGGCCTGTCTTAAAATGAAATACATATTAATATTTGAGATGTTGCACTTCAGCTATTCAGACTCGGGAAGTTTAAACTTATACACAGTATGCCATTAGTGCAATTCCATCAGGTTAATTCTGAATGCAAAACAACAAGCATATAATGATTATTTAAAAAGCCACAGATGATAGCTACCTCCCACAAGCAATAACAGCTTTTGTGGCTTACAAATTGTCAAGCACTTTGAATTCTTCTGCAACAGAAAATATTAATGCAAAATATAAACTATCATTAAGAGAGCACCAGCATTAGATAACCCTGAGGAAAAATAATTTGCAGATTTACTGAGGAATGTACAATGTAAACCACAACAGCAAAGTGTTTCAGGTTAGAAATGAAGATACACACCAAAACATATAGGAAAAGCCTTGTTTCCAGAAAGGGGTAGGTCAAAAATATATACAGCTTACTCAAATGAAACTGAGACTAAAACACAAAATGAAAATAATTCGTAGCAGTTCTGGAAGGGATTTATTTAAGCAGTCTATAGTCAATGCCAAGAGTGGTGGGAAGTGAAGGAGAAGAAATGTATGGGTAGCTAAACCATCTCAAACCGTGACGAGGTTTCTTGCACCTTGTTTTGAAACAAGCTTTTGGGTTCTGTGCACTGTCCTGTGAGATGCTCCCCAGCGTTTTCAGGCATGTCCCCAGAAGTCTGACCATCTGCAGGAGCAGTAGCTGGCATTCAGCTGTGGTGCTTCATGCGCTTTTCCAGCAGTTACTTTCTGTCTGCTCTGGGACCTCAGCAGGACCGTAAGGAATAAAGGCAGCTACATGAATAGAAGAAGGGAAACAC